ACAATATGAAATTTACATGATGCTGATTATTTGGTCCTAATGGCCTTGTTACCGTGTGCGAGCTTGATAATAATCGTTTTGATATATTTATACTGATCGAATTTCCATTAAAATTGTCGCCACTCAAATTTGCATTAAAATTGTCGTAAAAAAATAGGACAAACCGATCCAAAGACCAAAATAAACGAAGTCGCCTAACCTTTACGATCTGTGCATGTTGTGAAAATCTTTTTTAATGACTTCATTTGCATGATCACTGAAGCCATGCATTTCACAAATAAGGGGGCTGCTTACATGAGCCCGGTTACCCGAAATGCAACGACGCGTGAGATGATTTTGAGGTATTGAAATGAGTAGATAACATGATCCTGGCAGTCGTATAATCACCACAATGATAGCATGTGCTTGTTTGGTGTCATAAAGACTTATTTCAATACCTCAAGGTCCTCTCACGCTTCGTTGAATCTCGGGTAACCAGGCTCATGTAAACAGCCCCTAAGAAGTTTCGAAGCAAACTTCTTTTCGTTTGGTGCATTTTGTTATTGATAGCGAGTGACATAAAAAGTAAACTTCCTAACATTTTTATTGATATCGTAAACAAGAGAGAGAGACACGTCAAACTTATTTATTCCTTTAAACATAACTCTTAAGCTAACAGCTCTGCGGTGTGAATAGGCCTTGTTTTACATGTTTGCTACTGGAATCACTCCATGATTTGGCGAAAAGTTGATAACCTATGGTATATTTTCTTTGTGCCAGTCATCTTTCTAACATTAATTGTAATATTTCACAACAGCTGATATTCCTCATACGGTGAATCATGACAAGCAAAAAAGACTTGTTTGCTGTTGATAATGGTGGTTCCTTCCACACACGCAGCCCTCCAGTGGACGCCAATGACAACTGGATTAGCACTGCACACAAGATTGGTAATGCGGGATGGCAGAGTTTCAAATTTCTCTTTTTTGGTCCTGATGGCGACCTGTACGCTGTTCCACAAGATGGATCTTTTCTAAAAGGCCCACCTCCCACGCATGGCGAGGATAATTGGGTCGCTCGTGCAACGAAGATTGGTAATGGCGGATGGGCAAGTTTCAAGTTTTTGTTCTTCGACACAGAAGGTAATTTGTATGCTGTTCCAGAAAATGGAACCTTTCTAAAAGGCTCTCCTCCCACGCATGCCCAAGATAATTGGACAGCCCGTGCAACGACAATTGGCACCGGAGGATGGGCTAGTTTCAAATTCCTTTTCTTTGGTCCTGATGCTGACCTCTATGCAGTTAAAGAAGATGGGTTCTATAAAAGCTACCCACCAACATCTGGCAGTGACAACTGGAGTGCTCGTGCCACAAAGATTGGCACCGGAGGATGGACAAGTTTCAAGTTCCTATTTTTTGGTCCAGCGGGTTACCTGTATGCCACTCCACAAGATGGAACCTTTCTCAAAGCCACAGCTCCAACTTATAGTGAAGACAACTGGACCGCGCGTTCAAAGAAGATTGGCACCGCTGGTTGGGCAGATTTTAACTTTCTTTTTTGATATTCCCAGTATGATTGAACAATCAGTGACTGTGTTATGCACACATATAACCATTATACGCGTAACACAACAGTCTTTTAGCTAGCAGATGATTGCGTTAATTAAGTGTCATTATTTGAATTTAAAATAAACATTAGTTAATCCTATATATGTCTCGTATTTTCAACACCATTTTGTAAAATGGTTTCAGGGGGAACTGTTATTCGACTACAAGGATAAATAAGCCGCCATCGTTGACTTTAAAACCGAATGAAGCGTTGTGTCGGTGCATAGCTGCCATGCGACAAAAACTCACTGCTTTCCCAATGTGCGTTTTAGGAGTTAAAACAATCAATTTTGGTACCGCGGTAGAGTTATTAAGAGACGAACTTCGCTTCAGCCCATTTTCTTATGTACAAATTTTAGAATTTTACATGCATGAAAATTTTCGCTCAAAAACTCACTTTTACATTCCTTGCCACTTTCCCTGCTTTCTCCTTTACCAGTGTTTAGCATTTAAATCCGATTTTTTTCGCTTCATTAAAATCTGATTTCAATGCATTTCATTCAAATCCGATGTGGAGTTCATTTACTTAGAGATCACTCCAGTGCTTCTTCTTCCCCTGTAAAATTTCGTAACCCGTAAATTTCGCTTAAAATTCCTTCACATTTCCTTCAGCACGGAAAAAGGAAATAAAATATAACAGCGATACCTTTCATACGTGTATTTTTTAAGGCTGGTTTTCATGTGTTATAATTCGTCATAGTGCAGATGTTGCAACAAATTACAACGAAATTACGACATGTGAATTTGGTTGGATTTCCAATTACAGAGAAATAGTTCGCTAGCGAAATATTTGCATTTTAACTGCATAAATAAATTAGTTCAACATGCATGCCTGTGCTGAATTCAAAAGAAAATATGCAAATATTTGGCTAGCGAACTATTTCTCTCTCTAAGGGGTTGTTTACATGAGCCCGGTTACCCAAGATTCAACGAAGCGTGAGATGATTTTAAGGTATTGAAATGAGCAGATAACATGATCCTGGCAGTCGTATAATCACCACAATAATAGCATGTGCTTGTTTGGTGTCATAAAGACTTATTTCAATCTCGAGTAACCGGGCTCATGTAAACAGCCCCTAAGTGGAAATCCACCCTTACAACTAATTACGACGAATTGTGTCATATCAAAGCCAGTCTAAACACCGTAAATCACATGTGCCAAAAGTCCTGAAACATTCAAGATTTTTAAAGAAAATACAGATAATTTGGAATGCCTTATTAACTATTGTCTTTAATATGTTCGGCACATGTAAAATACGATGTATGAAACCAGAATAAAGCAGAGGCGTAGCCAGCCTGACAATGCTATGCTAATATTTCGGTGTTCATTGACTGTGAAAACAATGAACCTCTAAAGAATTAATAATGATAAAAACATAAAATTTGCATAGCATGACTAAAGTAGGTTTTAGATGATGATGAAACGTTTGCAAACATATATTCCTCACAGATCAAATCAAATGTCAGGCCCAGGGACGCGAAACACTTGTAAGCAATGAAATATACAACACAACTGTTGCATATGCGACATAAACGGTTTTGCAACGGATGTTGTATAAATTACTAAACTCTCACAATGAATAATAATAGTTCGCCAAAGAAAAAACCAAGCCGTGTACTATGAAATTGTGTAGGCCATAAAACGTTTAACACAGCGACTAAATACAACAAGTTAAAAGTAAAATATCATACAACTTACCTTTATGCATTTGATACTTATTTGCTGTCGAAATGACGCATGAAACACGATGTCCGGCGAACGAGATGTGATTTTACTGTAATTAACCGGTTTGACCAGTTTTTGTCACCAGTTCCCCACACGCGTAAAGCAGGTCCTGGCTAGTCCCTAGGCCTCTAATACGTTCCTTAGTACAACGCGGCTAGGTGGAATATAAATCACCTTCCGTCACGGAAAAAGAAATCACGCGCAATGAGGCCAAGGGACTAGGCTGAAGTTGGCTTGAGGCCAGTAAAAAGAAGCGAAGCGCAATAATCCGACATATTATTTAACATTAATAATAGAACAAATTAGCAAGGAAATGACAAATGTTTTTTGAGTATTCCAGTCAAAATGCGCGGTTACACTATGCAATTTTCCTTGCAACTTGTAATGCAATTATAAATTTGAGGAATGTTAATTTGTAAAGGGTGTTCGAAATAAGAAAACGTCAGCAAATCGTACGAAATGTTCGTTATTTTCAACTTTAAATGCCTCAGGAGTAGAATTGCAGTGCAAGTTACAAGTAAAGTTGCATAGGGTAACGCCGCCTTAAGATTGCAAGAAATCAAACTTGTTTCAGTAAAATTCAAATTTACACTTTCGAAAACACCCTTTCTCAGCATGCAAGAAACATGTATGACGTAACCTTACGAATTCAATACGGCTGTCAGGACAGAGCTCAGTGGGACATGCAGAGAGATTTCTCAGAATATCATCCCTATTTACAGTGCATAAGAAATAAAAGGGCGATGAAGTAAGCACTTAATATATAAGCACGTAGTATATATAACAATTCTTCTATTTTAGAGTACTTAATTCAATCAAGCGGGCATTATGAATGTTCAATTTCAGGTTGCATTGGTTATTGCACTTGGGCTTGTAACCAGGCTGGAAGCGGTTTATTGCAAAAGACAAACTAACTATGATTACTTGAGTGCACATATAGGAATATATACCGGAGGAGTTGCAATGCATAAGGAAACGAAAGCAAAGGAGCTTGCCCGCTTTGTTATAAACATGCCTGGTTTAACGATACAGCAACGAGTTTGGCTTTGTTGAAATATGCGAGGACAAACAATGCAAGAGAAGTTTTACGTCGATGGCAAAATCATTGGAATAATTTTCCATCTCCGAGCATAAAAACAGTGAGGATTTGCCAGACGAAGCTATCAATATTTGTTCTTACTGTTGCGTGATGTTTTCATTCTATTTTAGAACATTTTTTGCTTCTCCCAGAAACGCTAACTTGCGTTTAAACTCCCATATCTTGCCTAATATTGTATAGAAATGTACAAGGCTTACATTAAAATTTAAGTTAAACACCACTCCACTCAATAGACTTTACTTGAAAATGATATCTTTTTTCAATTTTAAATTAAATTAAGTCAAAGAGGAGGAACATTTTTTTGCGCCACCCGGTATGTATTACGCCAAATTTGAATAAATTTGTCAAAGGTGATTTTTGTCCAAGATTTATGAAAGACAACATCACCGGAGTCATTACACTTTGCGGTATGTTGAAAAATTAATATTTTTTCATTTATTTTATCTCCCCAAAAATTTTGTTCCTTCACAAAACAGTACCCTTTATAATCCGCTTTTTTATAATATCAGTTCACGCACAGGTAGTTAAGCTTTTATAATTGTCCTTTAATTAATAAACTTATTTTAAGAATACACGAAATGCACTCAAAATTAAAGAAATAAAGAAGTCTAAATCATTCATTGTCTATTGTAATTAAGAAAAATATTAAGATGAAAAAAGGTGTCACGAGCAAACGGTTTTTTTCCTGTAATGTTTAAAAGGGCTTGGCGCTTTTTACTGGAAATTCTGTGGTGGGATTATCGGTTCCTTCTGCAATCAGTTCTGGTGTTCCACCGAAATTGGTCTTGGGATACACCTGCCATCCTTTGGCATCACCTACCATCAGAGAAAAAGCACCATTTGGGAAATATCCCGTGATTTCACTTTGGATTTCTTTATATGCCTGTTTGAAAAGAGACATACCGTAGTAAAATTATTTTGATCATGAGTATTACGCGATAATTACCCATCAGTTTTGTCAAAGCGATAAATGGAGAGGTGAATAATATTTAAGCGAATTAATGCTGTACCTAAAAGCACAAAGCGGCAAAAAAATACCCCAAATTATTCGGGGTAAATAGCCACGTTCATGGACATTGATTAAAACAAAATTTCATAAATAAAAATAGTTTTATTTAAATCGCTCTAAAATTTTGTTGATATCTTTTTTTACATTGCATGGACGTGGTCTGAGCTAGGAAGAAAAATGTCTGGGAAGTACAGTAGCATGTTTACAGCCGTTGCAGATTGAGCATGCGGAGAATATTATTTGCCAGTGAATAAAGTTCTCATCAAATGCTTAAATGCAATGTACAGTTAGGTGAATGTTTATCACCTTTATAATTTTACTAAAACAATTATTCGCCTAAGATTCGGTCAATATCCTAATATTTCCAAAGAGATCTCATGATTTAGAATTCAAAATTTTAGATACTCTCTACAAACTCTATTTAGATAACATTTATCTCACTAGAGTCCAATATTTTCATTGACCAGGCTGTATAAAAAAATATACCCGTAATGAAGGGGGAGCAAAGTTGTATAAAATTTCCACTAAAACGTATAGTCGTTTCGTGAATGAGAAAGTGGGGTATTTTCAGTATAAATATTGTTGGTCAATATCACTTGACACTACGCTAATCCTGACTCGTTCGCCGCGGCCCCCTTAAATAGATGAAATTATACGTCAACAAAATAATTATAGTGAGTTTTTAGAGTTTATCAAAATCTTTATACATTCATTTACAGAAAGACTATTTGTAGCAAATATTTAGAAATCTCATTGAGAAAGAAATTATTACAAACCTTTTGATTTCCTCCGTAATACTTGAATTGAAACATCACAATTGCGTTCGAATCGTCTGGCACATGGTATATAGACGAGTTGAAATTACTTATGTCGACTTTCCTATCACCCGGTTTTATAACACGGATGTACTCTGGCTCGGCGCCATTTTCATATGTGGCGTTGTACTCTGGTTTTTTGTACACAATCCAAGTACCTTGAACAGCTTCAGCTTTCGTGTAAGTGCCTTTATCGTGCAAATTAGGGTCACTTCCATCTAGCAGAATGTGATGATTCTGTGCATCATACAGCCTAATACTCATCCTATATAAAGAAACGCTATGTCAGGGGATGGTATATTGCTAAGGAATAACATTTAGAATTTACATGCATCGAGTGAAGTGCCAAGAATCATAATTGATTTACTCTCAACTAACTCCAATACAATTCCATAATAACCAGTCGCCATTTCGCTTAGAAAAAATTTAAAAAAGTCCAAACGATTCAGTATTTTCTTTATTCGAAATACAGTGTTAACAGCGATTTAGTTTGATAAGGGTTCTCTGTATAGCCGTAATTTTCACCCTTAGCGATAAACGAGCACACGCGGCTGCTGAATTTCTGAGCATTTGATCATTATGTGGTCTACTGCCCGAGAAAGTGGTCGTTTTGATCGAAAGGGCTTAGCAAATGAATTAATTAATAGTTTTCACAATGAATTCTCATGTTGAGGTTAGTTGCATCTTACTTCAAAAAAGAGTTCAGATTGACAAAAACTTTCTCGCATCATCGATACAGGCATGACTGAATTCCATAATTTCATGAAAAGTTTCCTCTTATAATAACTTAATTTCCATCATGGCCTTGACAATACATCCATCCATAGCCTTTAGGCCATATTAGCTCAAATCAAATAACTGCGTAATGTATATCTCGGAATTCTTGTTGAATTAAGGACTACGTACTCTGTGTTTATAAACAGCGATTTAGCTCGATAAGCTTATAATAGCTGCATTTTAGTTCAAAGCGGAAGAGCAAATTGAGAAAAGCTTTCTCGCATATATACAGGCTTGACCGAATTAAAAAATCTCGTCAAAAGTTTCCTCTTATCATAACTTAATTTGCATCATGACCTTAACAATACATCCATCAATAAATGCGTATCTCGTATCGTTCGTATCTCGAACAATCATCATTTCTTGTGATCATTGTACATTGTTTCCATTCTCATGTGAAACTGCTCCATCGAATTAATTCAAAATATTTTTTTACTCATTGCATTGAAGTGAAACTTTCAACAAGAGATGCAGAAAAACGTTTGATTTGTGAAATTTGCCCGGGAACATTCCACTGCATATTGAAAAAGTTTATGTTGCATGTATAATTGCTCCAGTGATGTTGGTTTTTCAGAAATCGCACTCAAAGTTCACTCTGTTTGACAACATTTATTTAAATTTGGCCCAATTTCTCTTTACGTACACTCAAGTTGTTAGTTACATTGTATTAAAATATAGAACGCATAAAGAGAAAAACAGCAATAAAAATCTAGATCTATAACGTTAAAGATGTTTTAGATCTATAACGTTAAAGTACTCTTTATTAATGGACACATATGATGTCGATAGTCCCTGTTCGTGGTCTCTTGTTCGTAGTTGCTCGTGTCATAAATCCTAAATAGTGACTTACTGTATCATTTCTATTATGTTTGTGATATTGCTTTTAATGTTTAATTCTTGGCGGGTATCTTGCATGGTTCTTGCACTAGTTCCGTTTATACTTTGCCATTTAGGATCATTATCTGTTTAGTATTAATTTTGTATTCTACCGTATGTATTAATGAGTGATCCTAATAAAGTCGACAATAATAATAATAATAATAATAAAGATACTTAGAGTTCATCTTTCTTCGAGCTTTCGAACAGAAACCAACGGAGAATTTAAAAAACATTGCATGGATTCTTTCTGCGAAAAACTGATAAAACGGTCTTAATGACTTAAATATTACAACCTACCTTTCAATTAATTCACTGCAACTTTCGATATCAGGACAAATCAACTCAGCTCGGCAGTTCTTCTTTGATTCAACTCAACTTTTTTCGCACCTATATTTATACTCAATGCCTACGTGCAGGAATTTAAGTTTAATCTCGTTCTGTTGTTCAATTACTTCCCTTTTTTAAGCTTTTAACCTAACCACAAAGGTTGTGTACATTTGATGGAAATTAAAGTCAACAATCATTAGTGGATTCTTTCCGTTAAAACAGATGTAAGGATCTCCGTGATTTAATATTCCAACCTTCCTTTGAATTTGCTATTATTTTCGAGATCTAAACAAATTAACTCAGCTCGGCTTCACTTCTGGCAAATTTTCTTTGACTCAATTCAACTCTATCACCATCTGATTATATTCAATGCCTACATGCAGGAATTTATGTCTAATCTTGTTCTGCTTTTCAACTACTTCCCTTTTTTAATCTTTTAATCCAAGCACGGTGGTGGTGTACATATCATGTGAAATATACAGTATGTATATGCACTATATGTATGCCAGATATAAATATGCAATGTAAATATATGTTTATCATATGGTTGGGGGTATTTTTCAAAGAACTAAAACACTCGTACAACTCATACGCCACTACATCCGGGGTATATAGTGCGGGTACTTTCCGTATGTCACCTTTAAGAGTGACATAACGAGTTTCAAAAATGTTTTCCTTTCGAAAATTAATTCCTTTTTTTAATCTTTTAACCTAAGCACGGTGGTTGTGTACATATTATGTAAAACATACACAGCATGTATGCACTATATGTATGAACTCATACGCCACTACATCCAGGGTACAGTGTGGTGACACGTTTAGGGGTGACATAACGAGTTTGGAAAATTTTCCCGCCATTTTCATTGTTGTTGTTGTAAAAATTCAAATGGTGCTGAGTTCGTATCTAATTATGAAACGAAATTAACGTTGGAAATACAAAATAAATTACTTAAAAGACATCTTTAGATAAGTACAATTTATTCAACTTCAAAGCTTGAGTTCTAATTTAAAAAATATTCCCTTTTATAATCGTCTTTCGCGGCGTCTTACTTGTCGTCTTTGTGCATATTTTTGTCGCTCTGATTTTAGTCCAAGTAATAAACAGAACATTACCCCGAACCATAGAATAAACATAAAGATTTAGCTACATTGCATACATATATTTCATATACATACATATAGTGCATACATACTGTGTATATTTCACATAATATTTACACAACCACCGTGCTTAGGTTAAAAGATTAAAAAAGGGAAGTAATTTTCGAAAGAAGAAAACTTTCGACACTCGTTATGTCACCCTTAAGCCGGTTATGTCACCCTTAAGTCCACTAGGAGGAATTTTTTGATCGAACGAAATTTTCCGCTCGAGTGTCATACGGAAAATACCCGCACTATATCCCGGATGTAGTGGCGTATGAGTTGTACGAGTGTCTTAGTTCTTGGAAAAATACCCCCAATGGGACGTAGTTGAAAAGCAGAACAAGATTAGATTTAAATTCCTACACGTAGGCATTGAATATAAACAGATGGTGATAAAGTTGAATTGAATCAAAGAAAATCTGCCAGAAGTGAAGCCGAGCTGAGTTTATTTGTTTAGATCTCGAAAATAATAGCAAATTGAAAGGAAGGTTGGAATATTAAATCACGCAGTTCCTTTCATCTGTTTTAACAGAAAGAATCCACTAATGATTGTTGACTTTAATTTCCATGAAATGTTCACAACCTTTGTGGTTAGCTTAAAAGCTTAAAAAAGGGAAGTAATTGAACAACAGAACGAGATTAAACTTAAATTCCTGCACGTAGGCAGTGAATATAAATATAGGTGCAACAGAGTTGAGTTGAATCAAGAAGAACTGCCGAGCTGAGTTGATTTATCCTGATCTCGAAAGTTACAGTGAATTAATTGAAAGGTAGGTTGAAATATTTAAATCATTAATTAAGACCGTTTTATGCAGAAAAAAACCGTGCATGCAATGTTTTTTTTCAATTCTCCGTTGGTTTCTGTTCGAAAGCTTGAAGCAAGATGAACTCTAAGTATCTAACACATCTTCAACGTTATTGATTTTTATCGCTTTTTTGCTCTTCATGCGTTTCATATCAATTATACAACATAATCTTTTCAGTCAATATGCAGCAAAATGTTCCCGGGCAAATTTCACAAATCAAACGTTTTTCTGCATCTCTTGTTGAAAGTTTCACTTCAATGGAATGAATAAAAAAATATTTTGAATTATTTCGATGGAGCAGTTTCACATGAGAATGGAAACAATATAGAATGATCACCAGAAATGATGATTGTTCGAGATACGATTAATGATGGATGTATTGTTAAGGTCATGATGCAAATTAAGTTATGATAAGAGGAAACTTTTCACGAGATTTTTTAATTCGGTCAAGCCTGTAAATATGCGAGAAAGCTTTTCTCAATTTGGTAGTGAAAACTACGATCGCTTCGTAAGCGCTTCTACAGGGTGTCTCAAAAAAAGCGGACGCTATTGAGTTCACCTATTGTTAGAATTTGAATGGCATAGCACTATAAGTGCTCCAGTTTTTGAATAAAGCAGTTCATTTTATAGAGATTTTACAGAGTGAAATTGATTATTTAGGAAAGTGGCTAAGCCACGCAGACAGACATATAGTATGAACCGAACTGCTCTCAATTGCTATTCCTCTATATGTTCCACATACACATTTGCTTAGGAAATAGACTGTGTTTCGCAGAATTATACGGCCTTTCAAAATCGTGGAGCATCGCAACCAACAAACTCGAAATTTTGCAAATGATCAAACATTCAAACTGATCGCCCCCCACCAAATTTATGGTAGAATTGTCTGCTGTTTTTCGCGATCAGTTCTGTCATCCTGTTTATTTCCCCCCGGTATATTAAGAATAGCTCGGGTCTAAAACACGAAGGATTTGAATTTATCTTATTTAGTTGCTATGCAACTACAAAAACTACCGAATGACGAGTTCTTCAACTCTTAATCTCTAGCTTTGTCGTGATGAAAAGTATTGTTTCGTTTATATTCAAAATATGCCGTCATTATCCGACCGCATAGCGATCTATCTAAAATCGAGATTTCCCTCTAATGTATCGATTAGGACTACTGCCGCAGCGAGCGAGCATAGAAGAAGCAATAAATACGTCATGTCGTTATAGCGTTCTTGCCATAATTATAGGCCTGAAATAGCAATATACCATCGCTTGACATAGCGTTTCTTTATATAGGATGAGTATTAGGCTGTATGATGCACAGAATCATCACATTCTGCTAGATGGAAGTGACCCTAATTTGCACGATAAAGGCACTTACACGAAGGCTGAAGCTGTTCAAGGTACTTGGATTGTGTACAAAAAACCAGAGTACAACGCCACATATGAAAATGGAGCCGAGCCAGAGTACATCCGTGTTATAAAACCGGGTGATGGGAAAGTCGACATAAGTAATGTCAACTCGTCTATATACCATGTGCCAGACAATTCGAACGCAATTGTGATGTTTCAATTCAAATATTACGGAGGAACTCAAAAGGTTTGTAAGAATTTCTTTCTCAATGAGATTTCTAAATATTTGCTACAAATATCTCTCTGTAAATGAATGTATAAAAATTTTGATAAACCCCAAAAAACTCAATATATTTTGTTGACGTATAATTTCATCTATTTAAAGGGGCCGCGGCGAACGAGTCAGGATTAGCGTAGTGTCAAGTGATATTGACCAACAATATTTATACTGAAAATACCCCACTTTCTCATTCACGAAAGGACTATACGTTTTAGTGGAAATTTTATACAACTTTGCTCCCCCTTCATTACGGGTATATTTTTTTATACAGCCTGGTCAATGAAAATATTAGACCCTAGTGAGATAAATGTTATCTAAATAGTGTTTGTAGAGAATATCTAAAATTTTGAATTCTAAATCATGAGATCTCTTTGGAAACAGCCTGTCTTGAGTGTGAGTATCCCTTAAATATTAAATATTAGGATGATTGACCGAATCTTAGGCGAATAATTGTTTTAGTAAAATTATAAAGGTGATTAACATTCACCTAACTGTACATTGCACTTAAGCATTTGATGAGAACTTTACTCACCGGCAAATAATATTCTCCGCATGCTCAATCTGCAACGACTGTAAACATGCTACTGTACTTCCCAGACATTTTTCTTCCTGGCTCAGACCACGTCCAATGCAAAAAAAATCTCGACAATGTCCATGAACGTGGCTATTTACTTCGAATAATTTAGGGTATTCTTTTCACCACTTTTGTGCTTTTATAGGTACAGCATTAATTCGCTTAAATATTATATTCACCTCTCCATTTATCGCTTTGACAAAACGGATGGGTAATTATGGCGTAATAGTCATTTTACTATGTCTCTTTTCAAGCAGGAATATATTGAGATCCAGAGTGAAGTCACGGCATCTTTCCCAAATGGTGCTTTTTCTCTGATGGTAGGTGATGCCAAACGATGGCAGGTGTATCCAAAGCCCAATTTCGGTGGAACACCAGAACTGATTGCAGAAGAAACCCCCACCACAGAATTTCCAGTGAAAAGCGCCAAGCCCATTTAAACATTACAGGAAAAAAACGTACGGCTTGCTAGTGACACCTATTTTCATCTTGATTATTTTTTTTACTACAATATACAATGAATGATTTAGACTTATAGGCTTTAATTTTGAATGCATTTCGTGTATTATTAAAATGAGTTCATTAAAGAACAATTATAAAAGCTAAACTACCCGCGTGAACAGATATTATAAAAAACGGATTGTAAAAGGTATTGCTTTGTGAAGGAAACGAACGCTATTTTACACATCGTAATTTGTTCAATTCCAACAGCAACACCTGCTTTTACTGAAACACGGCAATCACAGACTTACCCCAATATCAACAAAATACTAAGATTCAATTTTCGAATATTATACTGCATTTTATTTCAAATATAAAACGCTGGACGTTTTAGACCTAGAAATAGATCAAAATTTTAAGGGATATAAAACAAAAAATAT